TTTGCCATCATGACAACTCTGAGAGGGGTGATTTTATTTTTGGTTAGATGTAATTAAAGCTTGAAATTATGAATAATTATTTTGGACTGACAGGTGTCCAATGAACCGCCAGTGCTAGTGCTAGTCACTTCAGGGATGACCTCAGCTCCAGCCTCAAGTTAAAGTGTTACAGTCTAGAAGGCAGAGAGTCGCAGTTTTCTGGCTGAAAGTGCCCGTCAACCGTTGTTAGCTTTGGTTAGCTCAGTTAGCTTGTAGCTATGTTGGTTGAGAGTTTGATGGGTGTCAATCAGAGGTTGCACTAGACGTTTTTATTGTCCCTCATTTTGACCGACAGGGTAAAAACAAACAAACAAAAATAAATAAAAAGCCTCAAGAACGCGAGATGCTTTGAAAATGGCATCCGAGTCTGAAATAATGCTCAGATGGGATTGGTTTTGTTGCCTCTGCGATGCACCTTGTGTGCGTAACGTTTAAAATGCTGCACACCTGCATGGGTCATGGCCTGTATGTATTTGATATAGCACCTTCTAGAGTCATGGAACCCCTCAACGCGCTTTACAACACAACCAGTCATTCACCCATTCACACACACATTCACACACTGGTGGGGATGAGCTACGATGTAGCCACAGCTGCCCTGGGGCGCACTGACAGAAGCGAGGCTGCCGAGCACTGGCGCCACTGGTCCCTCCGACCACCACCAGTAGGCAACGTGGGTTAAGTGTCTTGCCCAAGGACACAACGACAGCAACAGACTGAGCGGGGCTCGAACCTGCAACCTTCCGATTACGGGGCGAGCACTTAACTCCTGTGCCACCGGGTCAGGGTTATTAATTACAGTCAGTCAAAATGACAAACACGTTACATATTTTTTTCATCACTGTCAACTAAAACAGGTCAAATATGGCAAACGTGGTTAACGCAACCCCTGGTGTCAACAATCTGCTCCCACCCTCACAGCCCCACTTTCAGCTCAATTTTTGTATTTTCCAGAAGTGAGGAGACATGTGACATGGTGGTGGCGGTGGTGAGAGCCACCCACTGGGATTCAAGTCAGCTCATCAGAAACCTACGGGCGATGGCATGGAGGGTTTGTCCATTATCTATACAGTCCATGGTTGCATCACACTCAACTAAAGGCTGAGAGTTAACATCAGATACTCTGATATTAGGATAACATAGTTATAGTTTGAGGGAAAAAGTTGACTTGACTTCAAAGATTAATTAGCTGTAAATAAACATTTTTTTTTCTTTTTTATTTTGCTCTGACAAACCACCACCTTTCAAAATGGCCTTTGATGTCACAAAAAAATTAAACCAGTGGTACAATAGAGCTGGGCAATACAACGTGCTACCATAGTAATCTAGACAGACAGTAGCAGAAGTAAAATGAGTTTGTTCTGCGTGTTGGTCAAGCCGCACTCCATTGGAGCCTCAGCATCCCCGGCCAGTATTGTGGCTTGCCAATCACAGCGCTCCATCGATCAGGTGGGCGGGATGTTACTCCAACTCAGCGAAACTAAGATGGCGACGGCTTGTTTGAAACAGCTTTGGAAAAAACTCTGCACTACTTAGACCTGGGCTTTTGTTTGACTCAAGAGCAGATAGAGGTACTTAAGTTCATTTATAAAACAGATGTATTTATATGTATTTCTTCAACAGTGTATGGCGGACTGCCCCAATGACTGACAATCATAGCAGCCATGTTGTTGTCCAACAGCATGCGTAGACAACCGTAAATCCATCCGCACGACTGATATGTTTCTATGGGTTGTAGCCAGACAATGTATTCACATATATAGGATGACTTGACAGCCTAACAAAATGCATGAAAACTAAAGCATCGGTCATTTATATCATGTTGACTCAAATTGCATTGTTTAGTATTTCCATGCCATTATAAACACGCAACACAATTATTTTACTAACAAGCAAAAAAGGTAGCATTAATCCCACTCCCCTAAACATATCTGCCCTCAATTAGCATGGCTTAGCTCAAAGGTTTGCAAACTTAACATTGGTACAAGAACAGGAGCCAGTGCTGGGGCAGAAGGCTTTTCTTCAATAACAAGAGTCAGGGCAGTGGGAGGAAACAGGATAACGAAAGGGCAAACTGGAGCATGCTGCCCTGAAAATGCCCTCTGCTCATGCTGTAAATCGATTCAAAAGGGTATTTAAGACTTTTAACTGAAATAAATAAGCCTTTAAATCCAACAGAATCTTTCCCGTAACATTCCTTAGAGACTTTTTGGGGTTTTAAGTTTTTAAATCTCATTCTGAAAGTCAAACTTGCGTTTGTGAATTACAAATCAAGAAGGCTCTCTAGTCTTTGAAATGTAACTACGAACATCGGGGAAGACATGTTGCTAATTATTCAGCTTTTACACATTTTGTGTTTTACACTGTGATAATGTCTTCAAGTCATGTCATATGTTAATGTAAAATATGAAACTGAGCAACAAAATAGGCAAAAAAGCTATAGTTTTTTTTTCTCTGAACTCATAATTTATTTATCCAAATATTACTTTGAGAGTTGAGAGAAATAAAGGTTAGGAGGTCCATTTATTGCTAAAAGTACAGCAATTTTTTGGCCAGCCCTAAAAATCATGTTCAATTGTGAATCTGAGTAATATGTCTGGGTAATTTTTGTCAGTAGAACAAATGCAGTGAGGCAGTCTTGTCACTTAAATATTCGTTAGTTTAAAACTGCCAGTCGACAGTGCAAGGACGTGCAGGTTAGGCTAACTGTTGTGAACAGCAGATAGAATGGTTTTCTATCTCCAGGTGTCAGCTTTCGACTGATTGTAAGAGTACATTTTACCTGCTCTCAGCTGAGAAAAGCTCCAACCTCTCTCAGTGCTAAAGTATCACTGCAAATGATGGACGGATGAAAAGATCAACTGCAATTGGAAACATCGTCATCGTCGTCTTCCTCCGCTTATCCGGGTCGCGGAGGCAGCATCCGAACTAGGGAGTTCCAGACCGTCCTCTCCCCGGCCACCTCCACCAGCTCCTCCGGCAGGACCCCAAGGTGTTCCTGGACCAGATTGGAGATGTAACCTCTCCAACGTGTCCTGGGTCGACCCGGGGGCCTCCTGCTGGCAGGACATGCCCGAAACACCTCCCCAGGGAGGCGTCCAGGAGGCATCCTGACCAGATGCCCAAACCACCTCGACTGACTCCTTTCGATCCGGAGGAGCAGCGGTTCTACTCCCAGTCCCTACCGAATGTCTGAGCTCCTCACCCTATCTCTAAGGTTGAGCCCGGCCACCCTACGGAGGAAACTCATTTCGTCCGCTTGTATACACGATCTCGTTCTTTCGGTCATTACCCAAAGCTCATGACCATAGGTGAGGATTGGGACGTAGATCGACCGGTAAATTGAGAGCCTGGCTTTCTGGCTCAGCTCCCTCTTCACCACGACAGATCGGCTCAGCGTCCGCATCACTGCAGACGCCGAACCAATCCACCTTTTGATCTCCCGATCCCTCCTACTCTCACTCGTGAACAAGACCCCGAGATACTTAAACTCCTCCACTTGAGGTAGGACCTCTCCCCCGACCTGGATTTGGCAAGCCGCCCTTTTCCGGTTGAGAACCCTTTAAAATTAAACAATTTATTTGGGATTCAACCATAACAGCAAGTCTGAAATTTTCACTTTGATGTTTAACACCAGAAAAATAGAACCCACGGATTATCTTCCTCTTTTTCTCTGTTGCTGGGTTACTGAATGCATCCTTTACACAATCCATGTAAAACCTTTGTTTGTGACTGGAGGACCATTTCGAGGCCAGGCACGAATCATAACAAGAAAGAAACAAACCTACATGAAAAAAAAAGAAACATGCACATCATTCCTTCATCAGAAACATTCACGAACAATTTTATATTTTCCAGGCTGCACTAAGTAACTTTATCATGTATGTGCTTGTTTCATCTATATGCTTATTATACTGGTGCAGTCACCTCAGCCTCAGTCTGGGAATCATGGAAACCAGCTTAAAACAGTGATAAAGTAACAATCTTATAACAAATGTTCTATCAATTAACATTTACTTGGTTTTTATTGCTGATAATACTTCTGGGTGAAAACAGAATGAAATAACAAACTGATGATTTGACAAAAAAAAATCTGAAAACGCTTTTATCTTTAAATTAGCACAATGCCAAAATTATACTGTTCCACTAAAAAAACGAAAGTTGAAGCTTTGTGTGTTCCAAATTTAGCTGAAATCATTTCTGTCCTAGAAAGAGCTGTGCAGCCACACTCAGTCGTCAGCTTAATACCCTCACATTCGTGTATGCCGTACTGCTTGTATATGACGTGTTTTTAATATAGAGCAATGATTAAATTGGGTGCACTAGTCTATTTGAGACACCATCTGCTTGGAACTAAGAGTAGGAGTAATTAAAACAAGCTCGCTTAATAGAATTTAGCAAAATACAAAAACACAATTTGGAAGCCACTTTTCTTTACGGTTTTTATCCCACAGCCAATTACATTACATTGTTGGCAGCAAAAAGGCACAGTGGGGTGAGCCAAAATGAATAAGACTTTAATTCATGTATATGGAGGCACAGATGGGAGCACGGGTGCAAACATACAGATATACTGTGGGACGAAATTAACAGTCCTTATGAGCACACGAAACGGCTTCCTGTTGGGGTTATTTCTGATACTTTTACTGTTTGTGCTCAGAAGTGCCAATTTAGCAGTGCTGGGAGACAAATTTTACCCAATAAAGCTGAATCCACCCTAATAAAATATCAATAAGTTTACAGAATTTCAAAAATAAATCAGTAGAGTTCGCTTTGATGGCCGTACAGACTGACTGACTGTAATCTTTCTACCCCCAACAGCGATGAAGGCCAGGCATGAAAAATGTTACACAGCCTTCGAAAGCCTGAGCGTGTCACTTGAATTTAACACCGCCCTGTGGATTTTCCAGATGGCTGCACCCAGTGGGTTGATGACAGCACCCCTGAATCGAGCTACTCACTCAAACACTCGTTGGCGGAGTCCCCGGTGGCCCTGGCCCAAGGTCTGTCCTGGTAAAAAGGGTGACATCTCTGGCAGTCGGCGCCCACTGTGTGATGCTGGCAGACACACACCAGGCCACCCTGTTCCCCCTCAACGCACTCGCTGGCATGGCCATTACACTTACATCTACAGGAAACAGAAATAGATGGTTAGATCCAAAAGCAAGTTTTTTTTCTTTTCTCGTCTATTTCTCCTGTGGAGGATGGAGCCACAGGGTGGGAGTGAAACAAGAGGGTATTTCCTCCATAAGGAGTTGTCACTTCGGATTACCTCTCACAGGCACAAACGTGATCCATGATGAGGTAATTTTATTCCACTTCAGCAACTCCACGTTCCAATTGTGCTAATTTGTCACTGATAATAAACTCATACTGTCCACAAGTCTGGGAAAACTCAAAAGACATGTGCAGTGGTATCTGGTGAATCTGTCACATGGAAATATATCAGAACCCCCGGTTTGGATTTTTGATTCTATGCATAAAAAACAGAAATAAGTTCATCTGAGATAAAAGTGAAATCTAAATGAAAGTCCTTCAAGCTCGAAATTTCCAAACTTTAAGTCCAGTTGCCTTCGTTCGAACCCCTTTGGATCTCCAAAACTGGTTCATTTTGATCCTGTGTAGTGTTGTTTTAGCTGGGTGAAGGTTTTTGATCAATTCTGACATGTTGAATCTTTTTCTTTAGAGGTTTTCTCGTTAAATTTTAAAGTATTTTAGCAATACCTTTAAAAAAATTAAATCCAACCAATCAATTTCTCAAGGGGTGACTTGCTGTTGCAAAGGAATTTCGGAGCTCTTCTCCAGCCTGGACTCCTTCATTAGGATATCCTGTTGAAAACAGTTCTGCCTTTAATACGGTAATACCTCAAAAATTGCATGCACAAACTATGTACACATAGCCCCTCTGTGATTGGCTCCTTGACTTTTAGCCTGGCTGGCCACAGTCTGTCAGAATTGGTGAGAGGATCATGTCCAACATTTTTACAAGAACGGGCATTCCACAGGGATGCATCCTCGGCCCATTTTTTTATTCTCACCAAGTTCACGCATGAATGCTACCTCACACAAGAATAGCACCATAAAGTTTGCAGAAGACAGCAGTTTTACAAGCGCTAGTGGAGATTAAATGGCCGGGGGTATGGTGGTTGGGAGACCAGTTTGATGGTGTGAGAACAACAACCTCACCCTCAAACTGGATGATGCAAAACAGATGATAGTCTATGTGAGGAAGGATCAGTGACCTCACCAGCCACCCATCACTTGGAAGCTTGAAATGGAGAGGGTAGTCCAACTCAGACAGGACTTCTCCTAGTCACTCCACGTCACACAGCTGGCTGTACATTTAAAGAAGGCTGAGAAGGTTTAGTACGTAGAGCAGCATCCTCAGAAATGTCTAAAACTGTGTTGTAACCAACTGTATCACCAAGAATTTTGGCAGCACCATCAAGGGCGGATTTAGGACTGAAGAAGATCCGGGGCTTAACACACACACACGCGCGCACACACACACACGCATGTGCATACACGTGCGCGCACACGCATGCACGCACACACACACGTGGCACGCACTAGTCAACATCATATATATTTGTCTTGTACCATATAATTTTTAATCTGAAGCTACATATTAAGCATATTCAGGGCAGAGTATTGTTCCTGTTAGTGTTTAGTGTGAGATGATAGTAAATATTCCCTTTCTTTCTCCAACAACGTTACCTGATAAGCTAACTTTAGGCAAACCAGCAACACAACAAATATTTTCAAATAAGACTCACAAACCTGAGTCAACACCAGTCTCATCAAAGCTGGGGTTCTGTCGTTGTACTTTGGGTCTAAAAAACGTCCTTACGTCTATCGTCACTCATGCGTTTCAGGCAGAGCCTGTAGAAGAAGCCGGCTGCTGAAGGGCTTCTTCTTCAGTGGTGGAGGCTCAGGCAGGCTGTATACAAACTACTGCCAGCTGCTCCCTCTCAGTTGGACTTTGGTACTGCATGTTACTTCCGCAATTTAGATCCGGGGCTTTTCATGAAACATCCGGGGCTTCAGCCCAAGTAGCCGGGCCTAACGCCGCCCCTGAGCACCATTACTATGGACAACAAATCCCCACAGAGAGCAGTGAAGACCCCTGAGAAAATCACCAGGACTGCTTTGCCTTCACTGCAGCCAGTTTGTCAGTTACAGCCTAGTAAATCACTGTCTTCTCAGTTCTCATTAAACATCTTTTATTCAGTTTGTCTGCAAGGGCTCTGTTGTTTTACAAGAGTGTTTTAGTCATTTTTGAGAAGGATTTCTTGGTTCTTCTATTCCTTAAATTCTATTTCTTTTCTTTCAAAAGCTAAAAGCATTGTTCTGATGAAGCGCTTCATGCTTTGTAGACATACAGTACTTTGATCTTCCAGCAGCTCTTTACAGAAGTGGAATATAGTAGGAGGAGTCAAAGTGCTAATGGGTTTCTTTTCATTTGTATCATCAGAATAATTTTCACAAATGAAAAACTAATATAAAGCTCTTTAATATTATTCAGGTGCCAGATTTGAACGAAAATGTCCTTCAAACACTCCTGACATTTTTACATGGCACTTTTCTCCTATTCCCAATGACTCCATTGTTTTTCAAAATTTTTAATAGAAATTTTCTTTAAAATATCATGTTTTACTTTTTCGTTTGTTTTACTTCTCAAGAGCTCAGTCTGCTTTACTGAGTGGGATTTCACAAGACAGCCATTTCCCTCTAATTTCCATTCCCTCTGCATATGGAGAGCCCACCATTTCCACTGACGCGTGCTGGCAGCAGCGGCTCCTCGTGTGTGTATTATTTCCTGGCAGTGTCGCAGGTTTTCGTCAAGTGGCTGTGATAGGGGACCGACACTTGTCTCTGAGTGGCAAGCTCTGTCAAATTTAGTCAGCTGTCCTAGAAGCACATGTCTGCCTGCCTGAGGCTCAGACCTAGTTATTTCAGCTGTCACTGAGATGACAACAACCTGGTATCTCTAAATTGCCTCCAATCCACATACGAGACCTCCGTTAAGCTTGACGTGTGATCATTTCAACTCTGCAAGCGTGCTGACCTGCAGGCAAAGGATGTGCGGCACAAAAAAGTACTAAAGCGTTCATCTAGCAGATAATTATGTATATGATTAGGTGATTCCTGATTATGTTGAGTCTCACTCTTCAAAGTTATTACACTGAATTGAAGGTTATTAGAATTAAACCCACCTCACACTGAACACAGAGGCCTGAAAGTGGCCTTTCTAGCAACAAACTGACTGTCTGACACATAAGCAGCTGGGGTTAATGACCCTGCTCTGTTGAAGGAGTGGAAAGCGCGTTAGCAAACGACTTTCCAGTCAAGAATTTGTCTCTCAAAACTAGATGCCACCCCAGTGATCATGTACCTGTCCAATTTCAGGAACGTCTGCACCCCCCTCCAAAAATAACGGCGCCTGACTCCTGGGCCTGATGGGAAGCAGTGTAGTGTGAAGGCATATGTTCTTGTACAGACTGTCCCAATAAGGCCACCATGCTGCTCTGCAGGTCTGTCCCTCAGGTGTTGTGACATTGGTGGGTAATTTGTCGTGCTGCCAACGTGATTCTAAGCATTTATGACAGGTGTCAGATCGAGTTTATGCTCTCTCTGAAGACTTTGTCTCAGCTATTTAATTGTCCATTTCTATCTGCAGCTCTAGACGTGGTTCGTGTCCTTTCTTATTACCATGAGTAAAAATCCAGAGAAGTGGAAGAAAGACAGAGGATTATATCAGTTTGCTTTCATCAAACAGCAACTTGACTTGCAGCAGGACAGAATACGGCGCTGACTTACAGGATCCACTTAAATATACTCCTGTGTTCTGAAATGTATAATTTTACAGTAAACTACCCTTAAAAGGGGGTTTTATGCCTATTAAATGTCTTAAATGCTTATTAAACCTTTATAATTGCTTGGTCTGTTCTCAGAAGCCGTGTTTCCACTATAACGGGGAAAATTGACCACCAGAAACGATGGCTCGGCCCCCTCAGCTAATGTGTGTCCATACAAATTCAGCCCTTTCAGGGCTTTGCTGATGTCAGCATATCGTGACTGCTTCAGCAGTGAGCGATGTCATTGATCAGCAGCCAAAGGTATCCAGGGACATTATTTGTATTAAAAGTTTTGTCTTGTCAAAGCACGCCATAATTTAATCAGCTTGTGGGACCAGGACCTCAGCTGTGTGTCTAAAATGTGGCATTCAATGACCAGAAGAAGCACAGTTTCTACGGTGCTCTATAAGAGCCAACAGAGCCTTGTGAATTGGGACGTTGTGGGGAGAATTCCACAGCATGTATTAGGTGTTGGGATTTTGGTAACTACGTTTTAGCCCTCTGGAGGCAGGCATTACTGATCTGCAACATTAAAACCTACCTACCTGGTTACTCCACATATGTATTTCATGAGCATTTTTTAACTCAGAAGTACCCCTGAAGGTCTTAGTTGTTCATCCTTTTATCAAAACTCATTTTGAGCCTGAGCGAGTCATCGAAGTGTAAACACTGTTTATTCTGTTTCTTTGGTTAGGCTTCACCATCAGCTCTTCCAACTTTACAAATACCTAAAAAAAAGTTATGTCCAAGTAAGTTAAACTAAAGTCCACAGCAGCTCAGAGGCTGCCCCATACCCCCTTTATACCGCCATAGCGTAGTCTTTTGTAAAAAGGACACGATTGCGCCACATTACCGCCACAGTCTGACCCCTGAAATTGGTGGCATTGCTTGTTTTTAAACTGTAGTGTTTTATATTAAAAAATAAAAGTAATTAAGTCTGTTATTGTAAAAGCTTGCTTGTAACCTGTACGATGTGCAGTGAGTATTTCATTTATTTGACTCTTCACAATGCTTTTTAACTAACCCATCAAAATAAAACCAGTGTTGCCTTTTACTTTTTAGGTCGGGTCGTATTTTTAACCGTATAATTAAGCAGCGCTTGTTGCCACGACGTAATGTTGTTGTCTTCTTGCCATCGTTATACTCCTGTACTCAGTAGAACTGACTTTCTGCTACACTAACGTACTTGTCAAGTATGCATGAGTGTAGTTTTGTACTTGGGGGCCTTGTTCATTCACTGGAGAAATCTCACTATTTGGCAGGAAGCAGATCCTTTCCATTGATTGTAGTGTAACAGCTTGTTAATGATTTATTGAGCCCTGGTTCTTAACAGTAATAAGCTGTGATGCAAATCAAAGAAAATGTTTGAGTTAGCAAGTTTATTTTTGCAGTTAATCCAATCCAATCCAATTTTATTTATAAAGCACATTCACAAGGCATTACAACCAAACAAGGCGCTGTACACTAAAGATGTAAGTTAATCAAACAGCGGTATACAAACATGTCGAACACAGATAAAAGATAAAAAGGAAATACAACAAAATTCCCAAAAGCTAACAGCTAAAAATCAATAAGACACAGGGTGAATAAAAATTTGAAAAACATTTTAAAAAAGAACCTCAATAGTATGGAAGTTGATATTGTAAAGTCCATTTTTAAACAATGCAGATGTAAGTGATGGTCATAATTATGTTATATAAGCTAGGTTGAAGTAGTGAGTTTTCAGACGTGATTTAAAAATGCTAGCTGTTGGTGCCTCACTAGCAGTGGTAATGCGTTCCACAGCTTCCACAGACTAGAGTCGGTACGTCAAAAACCAGTTTAATCATGAACCAAAATGGCCACAAAGTGACACTAGAGAGGGAAAAATGCTCCGTTGCCTTTTATTAGCTGCCATATTATTTTTAACCAAAACTCTTCACTTCAATAAATTCAGACTTAACTGTGCTTTCATGCACAAACATGAAATAAAAATGCAAGAACATAGATAGTTTCTAAAGGATTCGAAACACTGTAGGTCAGTACCCACTCGTTGAATAAAGTTAAAGTCTCATTAGTCATCACACTGGTGAATTTCATCTCTGCATGTGACCCATCCTCATGGGGAGAAGTGAGCTGCAGCTGTGGTCGCGCCCGGGAACTGTTTGGTGTTTAAACCCCCTCAATCCAACCCCTTAAAGCTGAGTGGTACGACCCGGCCGGGATTTGAACCTCGATCTCCCACTCTTCAGGGAGGACACTACACCGCTGGGCCACTGAAAAGGTTATAAACAAATAAATAACAATATCCAATTAAAACTATTCAGTAACTTACTCAAGTACCATTCCCAAGGCCGACAAGCAACCAGAACATTATGAAAGTGGTGATTTCAAGCTAAATATGTGAGAGCTGCTGAAAATAATTAAAGAGATACTCAAAATATTTTACTTAACCCTGAAAAAGTGTTTAAATGTAATCAATGGTGCTGTATTTATTATTATTATTGTGAGTATTATTATTATTATTATTATTATTATTATTATTATTATTATATTTACATGTTTCATTGATGCTTCTAAAGCATTTGATCGTGTTAATCACGGAGAGTTGTTTTTAAAACTGCTCGACAGGAATGGACCTAAATATCTGGTGAGGATTTTAGTATACTGGTACGGCCACCAGTCCATGGTTGTCAAATGGGGGAATTCAGTGTCCCTTCCTTTTACTGTTTGTAATGGTGTACGACAAGGCAGTCTTCTGTCTCCTTGTCTTTTTAATGTGTACATGGATGACCTGTCCAGGCTGCTGAGTGAATGCAGGACTGGCTGCCAGGTTGGGAATGTTTTTTGAATCATTTGATGTATGCAGATGATCTGGTAATCTTTTGTCCATGCAGTGCTGGTCTGCAACTATTGTTAAGGATTTGCTCACAATATGGTCATGACTGACATAAAATTCAATGCAATGAAAAATACCATCATGATTGTGAGGACTAAAGAGGATGGTAAACTAATTTTCCCAGAGTTCCACTTATCTGACAATATTATTCAGATCCGGGATGAAGTTAAATATTTGGGGCATTACATCTCTGCTGACCTGTCGGATGATAGAGACATTTATAGACAGTGCTGCTTGCAGTGTGCGCAAGCTAATATGCTCATTCGGAAATTTTCTAGGTGCCCTATTTCTGTCAAGCTGACACTTTTCAAAGCATTTTGTACGCCTATGTACACTGCACATCTGTGGAGGAACTACAGGAGAAGAAGTCTGTACAAACTTCAGGTGGCGTACAATGATGGGTTGAGGCTGCTGCTGAAGGTACCTCGCTGGAGCAGTGCCAGCCAGTTATTCATGTACGCTGATATTCCCACTTGTACTGCTACCCTTCGCAATCAGTACAGATGTATGTGTCGGCTGATGGTCTCTGGAAATGGTATCATCTCTATCTTGTCCACAACGACACGAAGCATGACTCGTTTCTATTCTAACCTTAGGAATCACTGGCGTGGTTGCCTGTATGTCTGACTGATCTTGTCGGTTTGTATTGCTATTGGTTGTAATTTGATTGTAATAACTTGCTTTATTGTTCTTAATGTGTTTTTATTTTCTTGCTATATTTTAAACTTTTTTTAAATCCTCTTATCTTTATTCTTAATGAATGTATGGATTTTTACTGTTCACTGTGTTATTCTTCCCATTATGGACCTTAAAGGCCCGGAATAAAGTTTGATGATGATGATGATTATCATTATTATTATTAAGGCAGAGCAGCAGGTCCCTTATTGTTATCACCAGAGGATTTGTCCTTTTTAATTGAAATTTTCTCCCACAGACAGCAGCATGCACCCCCGATTTACCATGGCAAAATTATTAGCAAAAAACGTGTGCCACTCTAACGTTGCATAATTACCTATTCAATATGTACCTAATTAATTCGTTATTTACACACACACACACACACACACACACACACACACACACACACACACACACACACACACACACACACACACACACACACACTTTTTGAAACCACAGTTATGTCATTGGTCTAAGTGTACCTAATAAAAAGGCCACACCTGAACAATTGTTTCACATGGCATTCTCCTTACAGTCTCTTACCTGCCACCCACAGAGAAGTCGGAAATGGCGTAAAAATATGATCGCAACACTTTAGCATCCTTGAAAAACTCATCGCCAAAGGTGTTGAGCCTGTCCAAGGAGATGAGCAGGTCGGTGGCTGTCACCCACTCCTGAAACAGAGAAAGACAGGATGAGACAAAACAGAAGCAGCTCAGCAGAAAACAAAACTTCACAAAGTCTGTGACGAAAAGAGAGAAAAAACATAGAAACAGTGTGTTGGCAGAGTCATTTTCTGCAAAACCACAATTATTGGCTTTATTCGCAAAAGGCAAACAAAGAATATTGAAAATTGACGAGAAAAAAATGTAGAGAAATTAGGCTGGAATGGAGCGCTGGTGGATCAAAAGACGGGGTGATAGAGTAGCGGTGGGGGCAGATGTAATGGGATGGCAAAGAAAATTAGGCTAATGTTGAAGTGAGAAGGGCAAAAAGATTAATAATGAGAAAAAAAGAGAAAACACAACAATGCCGCCCTACTAGTGAATGGGACTGCACTTGGCAAAACTCCCTCTCCTAATACAATTCAAGCTACTCTGTCTGAGCTCTCTGCTGTGAAGGCAGGATGAGGCAACCGCAGGAGGAGAGACAACACCAACAGGAGATAAAAAAAAATCAACAACAATAGGGAGGAGGATAAAAGGGAGGTCAGGTAAAACTGGGAAATATCTAACAGCCGTGAACAGAACACGTTTAAAACAAATAGCCGGAGAGAATTTTTCTGCTTCCTGGTTGGTTTGGAACTCAGCAGCGGTGCTTAAATAGCCAGTAAAGCTGTGTGTTTTGAAGCAGCTCCCCAGAGACGTCTTTGAAGCGTGGCAGTGGAAGACAAGGAAATTTGAGCGAATGGGCTTCAGAAAAAACAAAACAAACAAAAAAAACTTAGATGAGTTCATTCATTCATGTTTCTCTCAGGCAGAACCATGTTGTTGTACGGCTGAAGCCCATCCAGACGAACCTTTCTGATAAGTCGGGTTTATTTTAGAGCAGCGAGCACAAACCATGAACCTTTTATGAATCACGTCTTTCATCGTTTACTCGTTTTTGGTCCAGTTCTTTTTCCCGTACCTTACTGATGATGTCACTCTGAATAAACAAAAATGGATTCAGATTTTTCGGGTTTAGGAAGAAATGCATCTTACTGAGTTTAGTGATCTGATGCGCTGTGTTCTGAGCATGTGGACACAAAAAGTTATGATCTTTAGTTCTCTGACTGTTTTTTGATTTTTTTTACCTTTCTTGCTTTTATTGGCTTTGGACAGTACTAACTCTAACCCATTTGTTTCAATATATGATTTTCTCAGTTTTAACTTGTTTATTGGGTTTGTAAAGTTGATCTAAAAATAAATAAATAAACAAACAAATGATGATGACTTTTGAATTTCCATAAAATCTAGATTCCATGTTCAAGGTGAATGTTAAAAACTTCCTAAAGTACTTTCAGGATTGTTAACATTTCATCAAAGCCAAAGAGAAACCATTTCAAAGAATGGTCCAATCATGAAATGATCGTATTATTATGAATGCAATAATTAGGTGTTTACACAGCTGATGATGGCACACACATTAACCTTATAGAAATCATAATATAGAGCAACAGAGGTAGGATAGTATGTTTTCCTGGGATTGATTTTCAAAATAAAACCAATGTATTGTGTTGCCCAAGAAAAATGTACATATTTCTGACCGTTCTATATGTTCTCTAGCTACGAGGACTGTGTTGTAGCTTTAACACTGATAACCAGTAATGTTATATATTAGGATAGCATTTGTAGCATTGTTAATGATTCAAAGGTAACCTGTACCAATAAAGTAAAAAAAAAAAATAATAAAAAAATAAAACTAGTTTTAAAACTAAAAACTGTGAAATACAGTATTTTTTTCATTTAGTTTTAAATTAGATTTTCCTTTTTGCTCCAAACTATCAATAATGTAAGTAAGTAAATTTTGTTTATATAGCACTTATCACAGACATAAAATCACTAAGTGCTTCACATAGATCAAAACTAAATAAAACTAAATCATAAAATCATAATAATCTCTAAGCAGAAATAGATTAACATCATAAAATCAAAATGCTCTCAAAACAGAATCAGATTAAAATCAGAAAAATCAAGTAATACAATTTTAAATTTTCATAAACAGATGAAAGATTAAAAATTTGAGTTAAAAATCAGAAAATAAAAGGTTTAGTTAAAAGCAGCTTTAAATAAAAGGGTCTTCAGCTGTTTTTTAAAAGTGTCCAGACTGTCAATGCTGCATAAGGATAAAGAGAGATCATTCAAGAGTCAGGGTGCATCAGTCTGGAAGGAGTGATCACCTGACTTTTATATCTGGTCTTTGGAACATCTAGAAGGTTCTGGTGGGTGGGCCTGGGTTGAAGCATAAGGCTTTAACAGTTCAGTAAAATAGGGAGGAGCTTGACCATGTAGAGTTCTGAAAGTTAAAGTCAGGTTTCTAAAATTAACTCTAAAGTTAACGGGTAACCAGTGCAGAGACATCAGAATAGGAGTGATGTGTCCTCTTCTGTTTGCTCCAGTTAGGATTCTCACTACAGAGTTCTGGACCAGCTGAAGGCGGTCAAGGTTTTTTTTGTTAAAACATGTGAAAAGTGTGTTACAGTAATCTAGACGGGAGGAGATAAAGGCATGGAGAACCATTTCAAGTTCATGTTTTGACACCAACCTTCGCAGTTTGGAGATATTTCTTAAATGATAAAAACAGTTTCGGACCAATGTTTTTGAGTGACCTTCAAGAGACATTGATTGGTCAAAAATAACACCCAAATTCCTTACGTTTATCTTGACAGTAGAGGATAAATGACCAAGTTTTAGACTAATGAGGGGAACCGTGCTCTCAGGGGCAATGAGCAGACATTCAGTCTTTTCAGAGTTTAACTGAAGGAAGTTTTCTTCTAGCCAGCTGGTGATAGCTGATAGACACTCTAGTAAATCATACAGTTTGTAGAACTCGGAATCCTTAAAGGAGCAGTACAGCTGAATATCATCTGCATATAGGTGATAAGTGACATTATGAAAAGAATCAAGTATCTGTCCAAGAGGGTGTATGTACAGCAGAAACAACAGTGGACCCAAAACAGAGCCTTGGGGTACCCCGCAGAGCAGATCAGTAGAATCTGACATGATTTGGTTTCTACAGACACTGTAACTTCTGTTAAAAAGGTACGATCTAAACCAGTCTAGAACAGTTCCAGAGATCCCCACTGAGTCACCAAGTCTGTTAATTAAGGTGTTGTGATCAACAGTGTCAAAAGCTGCAGAAAGAACTAATAATACTAACACTGTGAACTCCCCGTTGTCTGCAGCCATCATGATGTCACTGGAAACTTTAAGCAAAGCTGTTTCTGTTGAATGCTTTTTACAAAAACCACACTGGAATTTACCAAAACCGCTGTGTAGTTCCAGAAAAGAAATCAGTTGATCTGCCACAACCTTTTCCATATTTTAGAGATAAAGGGTAATTTAGAAATGGGTCTGTAATTTTTAGGCTGAGATGAGTCCAAACTTGTTTTTTTAAGGATAGGTTCAATAACTGCATGTTTGAAAACAGATGGTACAGAGCCAGATTGTAGGGATAACTTGATAAAATCTACAATGCATGGGCCGGTTTGGTCAAACATCCTGATTAACAAGGTAGTAGGAATGAAATAAGCAGGGCATGATGTTGGTTTCATGGCAAATGTCCTGGAAATCTACAGGAGTAAAGACAGACCATGACTGAGAGGGAGGGGGTTGGATGGGGGGATAGGAAGTAGATGGGGATGAAAAACTTGCCCAGATATTTCTGATTTTATTCTCAAAGAATGCTAGAAAGTTGTTACAGTCAGACCTTGAGTAAACTGGCATAAGAGGGGCGTGAGGTGAAACAATCTGGTTGATGGTGTCAAACTGGACTGTATTAAATATTTACCATTATACCATTAGATGACCTCAATGTTTTTTTATATATTTCTCATAAATGACTAATAATAATAAACATTGCCTTTTACTTTTTCAAAGGATATCAAATATATTGTTATAAAATCATGATCTTGTTAAAAATAGACCTTACTGCACTGTCAGCCCTGCTCATTTGCAAAAAAAAAAAAAAAGAAAAAAAAAAGAAAGTAAAAAATTACCTCTCAGCTTATGGAGCGAGCATTGGACAGATTTCCAATTCTCTGCTTTCCATGTAAAACATTAGAGGTAAGTATTACTCTTTGTTCAGCAGGTGAAGCGAATGTCTTAATTGGTGGATAGCATAAAATGAAACTAAGATGGCACTTCTGGGTCTTTTGAGACTCTCTCTCTCTCAGGTATTAAAATAGCCTGAAAAGCACCAAAGGAAAAAGTTTAGAAAGAAAGTTTCTTTTAAGGAGCTGTTTCTCCAGAGGGCTTTGTTCTGTTAGCGTGACCCGTCAAAAGGAGACGATTTATTTTAGAAATCAACCTCAATTTAAAACATCTGTTTCTTCTCGTGGATGCACGTAGTGTTTTTGTGCACTTTTGTGACCAGTTAATTGTCCATCATGTGGCTGGAGCTCTAGATATAACATCAACAGCTGGAGCGTAATTGTTTGTGTGTGTGTGTGTGTGTGTGTGTGTGTGTGTGTGTGTGTGTGTGTGTGTGTGTGTGTGTGTGTGTGTGTGTGTGTGTGTGTGTGTGTGTGTGTGTGTGTTGTATGAACTAGTCGACTTCACCGCTCTGTAGTGACTTTTTATGCCTGTCATCAACTAGTCGCTGTCACGTGATAATGACAAGATGCAGTCCTCGGAAAAGACAGCAGGTGACGAGCCCCTGCGCGCCTGGATCGAGGTGGAGGCGACTGACACCCGCCGTAAAATGGACATTTAACCAAATTGTGACCTTTTCCCTCTTGCAATTTAACCTTCCCCTCACCCCATCCTAACCTTAACCAGCTTGCGCATGCAAAGCTCTGATCGTTGACGCACTCCAGACATCTGCGTCCTGAGCATGGCCACAGTAACATTATCAAATCAGGTGTCACCACTCAAAAACAAATGTAATGCGATCGTTTGCGATCGTTCATGTCGGCTCATTTCCTTTTATGTTTTCTGTCTTTTATTTTTGCCTGATGCACCCCGCTGCTGTG